ACAGGTTCTATTTAAGTGATGTTCAGAGTCCTCAAGCCTGGCAGTGATCATACATGGGTGTGGCTGGTGAAATTGAACCTAATTGCCAAATGAATTTGGTAATTTGGTAGATTGGTAGCTAAGGGAGCAATTAAGTTTACACATAGGAAAAGGTGGGGTTGGATAGCATTTTTCCTTCAATAAAGGAAATCATGATCTGAAAACTGCATTTTTTGTTTATTTGAGTTATCTTAGTCTTGTATTAAAATTAGTTTGAAGATCTGAAACATTTAAGTGTGACAAATATGCAATAATAGAAACTATATAAGGGCTGCTTAACCTACTTAAGCTTAACTTAATCCTATGCACAGAACTTGTTACTTTGCATTGCTATTTAAATGCTTTGGCTAGCAGCAGACAATTGGTATCCCAATAATTCTCTTAAAAACCTCCAGCTAATACAAAATGCTGCAGCCAGAGTTCTGACAGGAACCAGAAGCAGAGATCATATTTCTCCCGTATTAATTTCTCTTCATTGGCTCCCTATAAAATCCAGGATAGAATTTGAAATCCTGCATTTAACATATAAAACTCTTAATGACCAGCTCCACCTAATCTAAAAGACCGTATTGTACAGTATCATCCAAGCAGAGCCCTTCGCTCTCAGACTGCATGTTTACTTGTGGTTCCAGAGTTTCCAGAAGCAGAATGGGAGGCAGAGCCTTCAGGTATCAGCTCCTCTCTTATGGAATCAGCTCCCAGTTTGGATTTGTGAGGCAGACACCCTTAAAACTTTCTTCTTGGATAAAGCTTATAGCTAGAGCTGCTCAGGATCACCTGAACTGTCCCTTAGTTATGATGCTATAGCTTTAGACTGCTGGGGGATTCCCATGATGCACTGGGCTCCTCTATTCTGTTCTTCTTTCTGCCATACATTTATACGTCACCATTACTTGTCACAAACTGCGTGTTTCCCTCGAGGTCCTGTGCTTGTTTTCTCTGCAGGTGTCTCTGGATCTGGAGCTTCACGTCTCTGATCTGCAGTCACTGGCCTCACTGATGCCCAAAATATTTATATTCATATTCATTGTGCTGTTCTATTGCTGCTCTCCATCTGCTATCCTGTCATCCCCACCCCCTCATCCCCACTCTCACCCAACTGGTCGAAGCAGATGGCCTCCTTCCCTGAACCTGGTTCTGTCAGAGAACAGAACCCCCTCCCCTAAGTTGCTCATTGAGAATCCAAAGGGATCTTAGACTGTTGGGTTCT